TTTATATTTTTGGCTAAATGAAGGTTAAAGTGAGTAGTGCATTTACTGTGTCTAACGTGACTAGAGCAGAGCTTGGCCACGCCGACTGCTCATCAGTTGTGCTGTCATTGCCGGGACTCCCCAAGCACTGCCCTCCTTCCTTCGAGGTCCTGCGCTAGGAACCCCTCAGCTGAGGACGAGGTGCACTTCATCGAAGCTCGCTCTCCACCTGCACTGGATTTGTTGTTATAAATAAAGCAGCAACAACGAGAACAGCTAAGTACAACTCTCCCAGGCAGCCCACCTAACGGGCCCATCTTACTAGGTTCACTGTCAGCCACCGCCAAAGGCATTTCCAGGTGAGGTGCTTGTCCCTGTTGTTGGCTTTTGTTTTGGGGTTTGTTTGTTTTTGTTTGGGGGGTTTGTTTTGTTTTTTTGTTTTGTTTTGGGGGTTTGTTTGCTTGTAACCACACCAGCCTGCTGTCTCTGACAGTTATTCCCACATAGTCTCTGGTCCTCTAGCTTTGCCCTTTGGCCTCTGCGCGCTGGAATCCTGTAATTTCCCAGAAACCAAGCAGCTCCTTTGAGCTGGTCCCTCCCATCTCAAGTCAAGGACACCGCGAGGAGCTGTCCAGTGTTGCCACACCTCCCACCGCGCACCTCTAGGCTCAGGGTCCAGCATGACGAGTAGTTAGGAGATGAGCAGCTGTCGCCTGTGCTAAACCATTCCAACGTGTCTGCCTTCTTCAAGTTTAAATTAGACTCTCGCCTCACCAGGAAGTGTGCGATGACTCAGCTTCATTTAGTCTGGGCTGCCTCTGCGGCCTGGTTGTGTCAGCCAACCGTAATAATCATGGTCTTCCCAGAATCCTCTGTACATGCAAAGCTGACCTTCTGTCGAGCATGAATTGCACAATTCTCGTTTGTCTGGCACCTCAGCACCACCTCCTCACACATCGCCCCGGTTTTAGACACTGTGAAAGCAGGACACCCTCCATTCCTCCGTGTGTGAGCCTGACATGGGCCTTTACACGGTTACCCCGGAAGCACTCAGGGTCTGACTCTAGTTATAAATCTGGAGACAAGAGTGGAGCAGGGGGAGATCTGGTCTTTGCTGGCGGGCAGCTTGCATCTCGAGAAAGGCAGCGCTGTCCCCAGGCAGGAGACGAGGGGTCTTGTCTTGGGCTAGAGGGGTGGGAGGTGGCCCGGGCTGTTGGAAGGGAGCTTTCCACACACCCCACTCAAAGCGACGCGGTCCTGTGTTTGTCCATCACATGGCAGCCAAGCAGAGAATTGAAAGATTCATTGAGATTCATGTTGAAGTTAGTGATCTGCAGAATGAAATGTATACTTGCTTTTTCGTTGTCTGTATAAATGGGTGAGTTTTAAGTATATTCCTGTTTTTATTTTTGCTCAGTGAGAGGAAAACCATTGCTTTCCTTCTGCACCTTGCGCCCGGAAGTTGGGGATGTAACCTTGTCCTTCTCTGCCTGTGTTCACCAGGAACGGCAGCCGGACCACGGCAGTTCCTCAGCTTCTCAGCTTCTCAGGAAATGGAAATGTCCCGCCGTGGAACAGCGCATCTTTCGTCAGCCTGGACATTAATGGGCAACCAGCCAAGTGATCACAGATGGCGAGTCCTACCTCCACGGGCTGCCGAATTCTCACCCCTGGATGTAGATTGGGTTTTCCTACATTTACCGCTAACCGGTTACACAGCTGGTCCCATAGCCTTTCCGTTTTCCTGAATGATGCTCAGTGCGACCACTGTGTGGGGCGTGCAGGAGGCAGCCGATCAATGATTCTGTCATCATCGATATTTCTCTCTCTCTCTCTCTCTCTCTCTCTCTCTCTCTCTCTCTCTCTCTCTCTCCATTCCTCTCCGAAATCTATAAAAATATATTAAAAAAAAGATATTAGGCCAAACAATCTGACTTCGGAGCTGATAATTGGGGCCATTTCAGTAAGCAGCCTAAAGTAGTTATTATACTGTTTCCTCAAAAGAAATCCCAATTGCCATGTTAGTGGTGCAGGAGGGAGCAAGAACATGCATTTCTTTGGGAGGGAAGGGGGTTATTAATGAATAATTATAAATTGTCACCGATTCCTCTTAAGCTGAGTTGGGATTTTGATTATTCACTTCCAGGATGATCATAGCTAATTCATGCAGCATCATTCAGGTGAGTGTGCCTCGATTTAGTGAGCCACTTGGTCACCAGGTACTTACTGAGCATCCACTGTGATTTGTAGATTCTGCCTGAAGTTCAGGAAATGAACAGCTTCATCAAATGAGCAGAAATGAAAAGAATGCCGATGTCCAGGGCCATCTTCCAAGTCATGCCCAGAAGCAGCCTGGTGAAGCCGTCGCGGGCTGGGCACCCATGATGTTTCGGGCGCTGCGGCCACGCTGCTTTAGACAGATGCCTGCTGCTGCCCTGCCTCCTGCCTGAGCACCACCAGCGTGGGTCTCCTACCCTCCTCTCTTCTATGCATAGGTGGGCAGAACAATAGTTTCCGAATACGTCCACTCCTTAACCACAGGAACCTATGCATATTGATGTTACATGGCAAGGCAAGAAAGAAGTGAGGCTGCAGATAGAACTAAGGCTGCGAATCAATCTTAAGGTGGGGAGATTATCATAAATGATTCAGATGGGCCCAATGCAATTATAAGGGACCGTGTAAGTGAAAGGGGGAGGCGGGAGAGCCACCGTCAGTGCGATGCAGTGTGCAAAGCCTTGGCCGGTCCTAGCCGGTATAGAGCATCGGCCTGCGGACTGAAGGGCCCCAGGTTCGATTCTGGTCAAGGGCACATGCCCAGGTTGTGGGCTTGATCCCCAGTAGGAGGCGTGCAGGAGGCAGCCATCAATGATTCTCTCTCATCATTGATGTTTCTATCTCTCCCTCTCCCTTCCTCTCTGAAATCAATAAAAATATATATTAAAAAAAAAGCCTTGACCAAAATATACCTGGCTTTGCAAATTTCTCAAATTAGAGCTCCAGGTAATTTAATTTTAACTCATAATGCAAATTGGTTTTCTGTCTCTCTGTCTGCACATCTCTGTGTATGTCCCTCTCTCAAATCTATATATATAAAAGCCTAAGTGACCAAACGACCGAGCAGCAGGCTGCATGGGGTGACCAAGCCTGCAGGGGGGCATTTGAGGGCAACCAGGCTGGCAGCGGGGGTCAGTGAGGGGTGACCAGGCTGGCAGGGAGGGGAAGTTGGGGGCAACCAAGCTGGCATAGGGGGCAATAAGGGGTGACCAAGCTGGCATAGGGGGCAATAAGGGGTGACCAGGTTGGTGGGGGGGCAGTAAGGGGCGACCAGGCTGATGGGCGGGGGGCAGTTAGGGGCAACCAGGCTGGTGGGGGCAGGGCAGTTGGGGGTGACTAGGCCAACAGGGGGGAAGTTGGGGGTGACCAGGCCAGCAGGGAGGGCAGTTAGGGGTGATCAGGCAGGCAGGCAGGTGAGCAATTAGGAGCCAGTGGTCCCAGACTGTGAGAGGGATGTCCGAGGGGTCCCAGATTGGAGAGGGTGCAGGCTGGGCTGAGGGGACCACCCCCCCCCCAAGCACAATTTTCGTGCACTGGGCCTCTAGTAATCGTATAATAGATAATATATTTAGAGACTATATAAAGTATTTCTGGAAAGGTGCAGGAGAAACTGTCGACATGTGTTGCCCCTGACGTGGAGGATAACTTGACTAAGAGTCTTGACATTTGACTGATGATATTTTTTTTTGAAAGTATTAGTTTTATAAACCATTTACAGCCAGCAAACATCAAACTATAAAGTCAAACATGCAAGACTATACCATTTTTCTTGACAGTCACTGAAAGAATAAGAACTTGATGGCGGAGAAGGGGCTGGCTGGAGATGGCAGTGAGGTCGGTGGTGTGTAAAGGTGGTAGGAACATCCTAAACTTGCACGTACTCCTAGTGTCAGTTTTGCCTACCCAGCTTCCATCCTTAACAATTTCCAGCATCGTCCTCCTTGCTCACTTCCACTTCAGGGACGACCTGATTTATGATGTTACTATTCCAGGGTTCGGCTCGGATAGATCAAATGCCTTCCGCTTTCACTGTGCCTCAGGGCTTCCACTAAATATGACCTGAATATCTGCACTGTCCCCCACTGGGCATGCTCCCTGCTCTGAACGTAGGTTATATTAACTCATACGTCTGAAGGTCATTGCGTTATTAGGCTAGGGAGTGAGGTTTCAATATTTTTTATTTTTGAGGAAATCACTAAAGTTCCTGAGTGTAAACATGCATGTGCTAAATCTATGAAAAGTGACAAAAACGAGGAATGTTTCATTATGATATTTTATTATGGGTGTCTGTAAGAAAAAATGATCAACAACCACATACAAGCTTACAAAGTGAAATTTCAACACATTCCCTGTGTTATTGTGGCACATCAGCCCCCTAATTTGTGTGTTGTTGTTGTTGTTGACTTTTACACGATGAAGGGATAGTCCTCTAACGTGACATGCCAATCAACCTTGTTGGACAGGAGTCATGCACAGATGGTGTGCATTTAGTGTTTGGAATGGAAGGCCACAGTTCTGGCCTAGAGTTTTAAAAGTGAAAGTACATTAGCACCATAACATGTGTCTTCAAAGTCTTCCCAAATATTGGTCATCTTGGTCATGTTAGCAATGACAAGGGAGGAGGAGAGCACCTTTAAAAGCAGCTGATATCCAAGATTAAAATAATGGTGAATCTTAAAAAAATATTTTTTAAAAATTTTTGCACTACACTCTACATTTTTAAAAAACAAATATTTTAGAAAATAAATCAATGTAATTCATAAGTTTTACCAACTTATACATTTTTTTTTCATCTTCTGGGACTTAGAGAATTCATCCGTGTTTCTGACCAGGCTGAGGTAGTTGAAACAGGGAGGTCTTTTCAAATTGTCTGTCTGAGTATTTCAGAAAGAAAGGTTGTTCTTGACTGATAAGCATAGTCATTGCTCTGCCACATGGGTTGGATTCAAAGAAGTAACTCAGTGTGATTGTATGAGTGTTGAAGTTTATTTATTATAGCACCATTGAGACATTTTGAAATTGAAATTTTTAAAAAAATAGAACAAAAGGCATTTGAACTGTATTTGGTGAAACAGCAAAAAAAAAAAAAAAGTATCCTTCTTTGTCAAATTATACTTTTTCCAAAAATTTTGGAAATAAATAACTGGAATTTAGTTGGCCACTTGTACTGGTTGACAAGATTAGAACAAGAGGAACACATATGGAGTGTGAGGTTTTTGGCTGGGATTTTAGACAGAGTTTGGCTTATAAAAAGCAAACAGGGCCAATGTCCACACCGAATTCTTGATCGGGACCGCCGACATCATAGGGCGCGAAATCCACAATAGGGAGTCTCACCGCCTTGCGTGTTCGATACTCGAAGACCGTTCTGCCCCACTCGCCAGTGTGTTTCTGTAAAAAGAACAAGAAAAGGTAAGTGACCGTGACATCACAGTTCCGTTCAGCCGCTGCTTCCCGAAGGGGGCCCTGCTCAGAAGTGTGTCATTAGGCGATTTCATTATGTGAACAACACAGAGCGCATTTGCACAGACCTCGGTGGTACAGCCTGCTCCTCCTACACACCGAGGCTGGATGGTCCAGCCTATGGCTCCCAGGCTGCAAGCCTGTACAGCGTGTTACTGTACAAAACAACATGAGATTACATCAAGCACAAGAGAAACGATGCAGCCAAGAGACATGGCAACCATGAGACATATGAGGCTGTTGCTGGTGTCACAGGCACACTGTGACACAGCAAACCTTTTTCTGAATTAGGCAGAGTGCGTAGTAACCAGATGATCTGATAACATTTATATTATGGATTTAATTTTCAATTGCTTTCTTTGCAACTGCTTTTTACCTAGCGGCCGAGAAAAACATCTTCATTTTTCGTGCTATTGAGCATTTCCTGCAACAACTCAGTAGATTCTATATAACTAACACCACACGCCTTCCTTCATGTGTTCGCCCTCATTGTTTTGATGTCTTTTTTAAATAGTGAGTGAGATTCCACTAGAGATGCTGAGCTCAGTGTGGTCCGGGCCGATAAGAAGGCTGTGACTCACCGTGCAGCCATCCTCCAGGACGGTGTACGTGAACTTGCTGTTTCCCTCCGCCTTGAATTCGCCTTCATTGGAGCCCATCAGCCTCAGGGCCTTCTTCACGTTCCCGCTGGCGTGGTCCATGTACGCGATGCTGTTCCTGCAGTGGTACGTGATGTTCTGGGAGGCCCGGCTGGAGAGCAGGCGGAGGAAGGCGAGCTGCACGTCCAGGACGTCTTCGGGGAGCTCAGGGTTGCCGTAGCTGAACTGCGGGGGGAGCACAGCCAACGGGTCAAACGTTTCAGGTGCAATTGAGGGACTCACGCTCGTAGTTTGGTTATTGTAATGTAGGTTGTTCATATATTTTGTTAAGAATATTTTATATGTGAACTTTTCTTAAAGCATAGTTGACGTACTGTATGATATGATTTCAGATGTACAACATAGGGACTCTACATGTATATGCCTTGCAATGTGATCACTGAGATAAGGCTGTAACCATCTGTCACCGTGTGAACACGTGTTTACTACATGTACAACATAAAATGTTAGAGTAGGGAATGTCTGGGGAGTTAAGAGGTGGTGGCGTTCTTCATTCTAGCTTAGCTCTTAAGAGAGAAGTCGCACGAGGGTTAGAAGTGGTCTCCTGAATGTATGAAGTCAGTTGGGCTCTTCTGCTTATTAACTAACCTGGCTTTGTGGTGAACAAAGAGCAGGACCCAGGCCGGCCGGCAGGTAAGGGTGACTCAGTGTCAGATGAGACCGGGAGAGCCCCTCTCACCTGGAAGCCTCCATCCATGGTTTCCCCGAACCAGACGTGCCTCTTCTCGGCGCCGGAGTCTGTCCACCAGCGCTTGCGGGGGACGCTCTGAGGACTGGCGCTGATGCAGGTCTCCCCCGTCTCCATGTTGCAGAACACTTTAATGGCGTCCATCTTACAGCCTTGGTTAGGGTCAACCCAATATTCTCCTAATAGTCACCAAACAGGACAATGGAACTTGGTTACAGAATCCAGTACTGAGATTTGGACCAGAGTGATGTTGTGTGTTTTCCTGGTAAGACATTCGGAATGTTGACTGCTACTGTGTTTGCATTGTATGTACTTACATTGATAGGATAGCGTACTGTAGCTCTTTGTCTAATCCAGATCTGTGCTGTCAGTCTAAACCCAAAGTCCCCATGGTTGACTGTCCTCTATGTCAAGTCATTTCCTGAAGTGACTCCAAGGCAGTGTTCCATGCCAAGGTAGATAAGAGCTTGAAGTAATGGTGTCTTTCAGAAAGAATTAAACCAATAGAGGCAAAATCTTACCCTATTGCAATATGAAATTCCATGTAATATTCTGGAATTTTTCATTTGGATTTTTTAAATAAATCAAATTATTGAAAAATTAAGTCAAATTATTAATTTTTGAAAAGAATTAATAATTTGACTTATTACAAAAATTAAATTGCATTATTTCAACAATTAGATGGCAAACTTTGTCTGCATCAAATTACAGTGATAACCATTGCTTTGTCCCTCAAACAGGCCTGTGATGATGTGCAGAAGCATACCAAACTGATTTGTGTTACACTTTCTGCAGAACTGTCTTTAAATGGTCCTACTGGGGGTGCTTTGAAGTAGGTCATGTTACACTTTGAGTTCATGTTTTCTTCTCAGTGGCAAGGAGTTTCCCTTCAGCCAACACCTGGAAGCCCGTTTCTGCTCGACCAGCGCAGCCCACCGCGGCAGGTTCCCCTTCCCTAAACCTGGCACAGCCGCTCTCCCTGTGGCCCGGCCCGAGCCCACCTACCGCTCTGGAGCTCCGGGTGGCAGAACTTCAGGTCTCGGCAGTTCCGGGCCGGGTTCTTGCGAGACCCGTCAGGGCTGATGAGGTTTTCCACTTGTCCGCTGACTGACTTGAGGGAAGTCATAATCTCCTCGGTGTTGATTTTGAAATCCAGTGGTTCATCTCCATAATAGGGGGCAAACCCTCCAGCCTTCTCCCCTCCGCCGCCGGAGATGGCCACTCCGCCCCCGCCGCAGCAGGGGCCGGGCGCGCCGGGGGGTCCGGGAGGGCCTGGCTGGCCCGGGTGGCCGGGGGAGCCCTGGGGGAGGGAAGAACGTACATCACTGAGCTGTGCTGGTTCGGTCTCCATGAGAAAACATGTGAAGCCCCAGAAAAGGGATTAAAGACCATGGACGCCTTGAGACATCATTACTTTAGCAAAGGGTGATGTGACCAGTGATAGCAAACTTGTAATGGTTCTGATTCGCTCTCAGGAAACGTGTTCTGCTGTGTGAGTCGGTGGTGCTGGAGCATGAGTTTCACTCCACGGGGCTCCTTCTGGGTGAGTGACCTAAGCAAGGCTAATGCGGACCGGGCGTCTCCCATGTCCCCTCCCGTGTCATCCCCTCCCGTGTTAGTCTCCTCCCGTGTCAGTCCCCTCCCGTGTCGGTCCCCTCCCGTGTCACGCCAGCATTAGAATCCTGAGCCCAGGTTTGTCACTAACTTTGTGTCTGTGGGCTGATCACTTACTTGCCTTTGAATTGCCACATGTGTACCTTGTGGGGGGAATAGTCTGTATTCCACTGACCCCAAAGGTATAGGATGGAAAGGTATTAGGAATGAAGGTATCAGTAGCAAAACAGAAATACCGGAAGCTATCGGAGACTAGAATGTACTACATACGGGGGAGGCAAAGGTATGTTTACAGTGTGAGCACATGGAACGCGGAGTCAGTAAAACCACTGTAATAATCATAACCGCGTGTCCTTTCCCCTGGGAACCACCGCAAACCCACGCTTGCCCACCCTGCATTGGCAGCTCGTGTGTTCATCATGGTTGTGAGGCTCCATGTGAGAGAGCGCAGGCGGACGGGCTTATGTCTTTATTAGGTTACACCTGGTAACTGATCAAACTGTAAAAAAGGGTTTTCTCCTCGATGCAGTATGATAGAGTCTTAATGTGGTGGAGAATGTCATCAAGTCATTGCGCATTTTCTAAATCAAGTCGGGTGACTGCGTATGGTTGAACTCTGGTTTCAGAATATTGCAAAGTGTTTCTGAACATGTGACGGTGAGAGCAAGTCAAATGTGTGTGTCTATGAGGGATGTCCTACCTCGGATCCTCTTTCACCTCTGTTCCCTCGAGGCCCTGGTGGTCCGATGGGCCCTGGATGTCCACTGGTCCCGTCTTTGCCGGGGGGCCCACTAGGTCCAACGGGTCCCTAAAACAGGGTCATGATGTCACAGTGCTGGGACCTTCCTTCCGCGCCAACAGGGCGACAACATGCACCTTCCCGTCCTCCCTGCGGTACTTACTCTGGGGCCGGCGGGCCCTGGGCTCCCGACTGCCCCTTGGTGACCAGCAGGGCCCTGGGGGGAGAGGCAGGGCGGATAGGAGTGAAGACTTTAAAAAGGTTAGGAGACCACACATGCCCGATCCGATCGAGAAAGACAGGGATCGTGATAAACATGATCTCCTTTCCTTCGGTCTCCCCGTTGTCTCCTGCCAGCTACGAGTTCCAACGCGTCCTCGAACCCATTTCCCAACCCGTCGGGCATATACGTTCAGAAATAAACATTTTCTGCTCTCAGTGCAGAACACTTGCCTAGCCCATCAGTTAAAGCACATGGAAGGGGCTTTTCTCACAAAACGACGCACTTACTGGAGAGCCGGGGGCGCCGGGGTTGCCGGGGAAGCCTCGATGTCCTTTGATGCCGTTAGAACCACGTTCACCTGTTTCACCTTTGTCGCCACGGGGGCCTTGGGGACCCTTTACAAAAACACATGTCCAGTCAAGGCTCTGTCCACACATACTCACTGGGAAAACACGCTAGGATTTATGCCAATTAAATTCTCTTACATTCTGGCATTCTCTTAGACATCCCATCCACACACTGATGGGGTTTGGGACTGATAATTGCATGAGACCCCAGTAATTGATGTGTATATCCTTGGCCCTGAGGAACTTTGGGGTCCGGGATTGCTTTCTGCATCATGGAAGGGAAGTTGAACCTCTGTCCCATAGTTCTGTGTTTTGTCATCCCTTTCCCCGAACATGCCAGAAGAGAGAACTTTCCCTCGATAGAGGAAGTTAGGGAAAGAACACGACTTACAGCAGGACCGCGGACACCAGCAGGACCTGGGGCACCAGTAGGGCCAGAAGGACCCTGAAATAAAAGGAAACACAGCAACACACGGAATTAGTCACTCGGTGATATAGTTTTGTTTGATTTCAAAGTTAATTGCATTCTGAAGGAATAACTGTGCTTACTGTTATTGAAAGTCAGTATCACTTCCTCCTTCAATGTCCTTCCCCTGTTTATATCTTTACCAGGGGGTCTAAACAGACAAGCTGAGAACGTCCTATTAGCCCAGCCTTACATTTATCTGGTAAGTGTACACTTGGTCTGGTTAGTACCATGTTGAATTTTAGTAATGAACTCGTCATTGACTACCGCCAGAGACTTCTCCTGTAGCCTTATGACCGCAGTTGCCTGCGGAATGACGAGCGTAAAAACTGTACAGCGAGTGATGGTCGATCTTTTTGGTTGGCAGATGTGACATTCTGTCTGCTGCCTACTAACCCCTCTCTGAAGGAAAACAGACAAGAGAGATGGTGTGTAGTAGGACTCACAGGTTCTCCTCTGTCACCACTCTTTCCTGCTGGGCCCACGGGACCGGGCGGGCCGGGGTGTCCCGGGGAGCCAGGGGCGCCAGGCGAGCCGTTTTCACCACGATCTCCCTGTGGGGAAATTCCAGATCCAGAATCAGTGTGGCCGGCAGCCAACTCTAATTCATGCGCCTGCTGTCCATGCGCTTGCTATACCTTGGTCCCAGGAGTTCCATCACGGCCCGGGAGCCCATCGGATCCAGGGTTTCCCTGTGGAAAGAGACAAAAGAAAGGGGAGATGAAATCCACCTCTTTGGAACCACTGCGACGCCACCGACGCCACGTCTCTCAGGGGAACACTATCCTCCTAGAGAGGATGGGAGTTGGCTCCTGGGAGTGAAATGTCGTAGCTGTTGCAGTGGGCGTGGCCCTGCCTAGCTGACATGCCTGAGGGCAGTGTGTCTGTGGGTGAAATTTCCTGGGGTGAGACGGGGAGATATGATGAGGGAGAAAGTGTCCAATAGGAACCCTGAGGGGAGAGACGACACATAAAAGCAGGACAAACAGTACTTTAAGCTGATGATGGGAATCTGCGATTAAAGGAAAAACTAACCACGGAAAACATGGAGGACATGCCCACCCAGAAGGAATGTTGCAGCTTAGGGGATCCCCGCCCCAACTCGTTTCTTTCTTTACCCAGAGGTCACATTCTTCCCCATGAACGGTCACTCATTGAGTCATACCAATGGGCATGGACCTTGGAGGCCATTCTAAGTTGTAACGGAAAGAATGTCAGTTATGAGAAAAGGAAGGCGAACCTTGGCATGCGGCCATATTCACACACTTAGCCCTGAAGGTCCCATGGGGCTCTGGCTTCAGTCAGTTACCCAGGACCACCTGGCTGATTGGCTGTTTCCTGGGACCCGGTACTCACATCGCGCCCCGGCTCGCCCGCCGTCCCCGCCAGGCCGGGCAGGCCCTGGGGTCCAGGCGGCCCGCGTTCTCCGTTGTGACCACTGGGTCCAGGCTTCCCCGCTTCACCCTGCGAGAAACATACAAGACATTTTTTAAACGTAAGGACTAAATGAATATCATGTTATTAGAAGTTTAAATCCACTTCTGTTGAATTGGTTCCTAAGACGGTCTCCACAGGGAAAAGCTTTGGAGAAGCAAACTTGTTGCGTTTTCTAACTTTTCCAGTGACTCTGGCCACCGAAGGGCTGAGTAATACACAGGACACAGGTTGTCAGACTCAGAATCCATCCTAACAGGAGATGGAGACACAGACGTGGCCATTATGAGAAAAACATAAGGATGAGCCATCACGAAGCTATGGGCTGATGGTGACCATGACAATGAAGTGACGTTGATCAGCTGGCTCCACCTACAGAATCTACACCTACTACATGTGTCCATATACATCGAACACATAATCTTTTACAATATTATATGACCTTTAAGTTTAAAGAGGTGCTTGAAGTATCGAAATATGCGCCTTCATAAAACAGAATTGGATTGCCCCATTTGCTAAATGAATATTTAAGATGCTAACCACTAAGCTATCCAAGCAATATTAGTGAAAGCCAGTCAGGAGTGCAAAATGATGAATAATTGCTGTCAGTTAAAGGCTTTCGCAGGTCCATACGCTGACATTGTTTCTCCCTTCAGACTCACAGTCAATAAACTGAAGGATGCTCACAAATTTTCCAACAGAGGCAATTGAGATGGTAGGAAAAACCCCTTATTCTGTGACCTCCACGCTGTGTGCGCATGCTCCAAGCTGCCCTATGGTGTGCATTGCTTTGTACTCTGGAGCCTTTAACAACATGCATGCTCCCCCAAATGTGAAAAGATCAGGAATTTCATCTGTTACAGGAAAGCCTGCTCGTTCTGTCCCTGCTGTGGCTAAGCGACCCCCAAGGCTGCCAGAAACACC